TATATATATATATATATATATTGATTTTTAATCCACCGACTGCCTAATTGAATAAGCAACACAGGATTAGAGCTTACACGTGTTAAGAAGATCCATCTTTTTCATGGAAATCCATGTGATTTGTGACCCTGAATATTCAAATAAATAATTGCTCTATGGAAAAGAAGTGGACGTGCATGTATCTAATAACAGTGAGGCCCATTCCATGCCGCCTCTACACTCTAAACTCCTGGTCAGCATATGAAGCGATTCACAGCAACACCTTTCATGGGCTCACTGGAAGTCCCATGCATTAGTGTCCATCACATCAGTAGCTCGATTCCCATCTTTTGTCTGTGTGTGGCCATGCCCATCTGGACTGAAGGAAGCATCCCGTATAGTTTAATTAAGGAAATTCACCAAAATAGCTATTTCAAATTCCCTAATTTATTTTATAGCTATTTTTCTACTTAATTGAACAAAATAGCGAAAACAAAATCTGCCTTTGATATATTTAATATTCATAAAGTGACACTTTAACAAATTGTTAGAATGCTATATACGAATATTTTCACATATTCTCACATTGTGTCAGAGTCAAAGTCTACATCTGGGAGTTTCATGTTCCTATAAATTGCTAAAAGGTTACTTGTTAAAATTTGGCTATTTTGATGAATTATATTAGAAAAGAGGCTTTAAAGTAAATTGGATGGCTTAAAAATGGCTATTTTGGACAATTCCATACACTAATAAACTATTGATCTGGGTTTGCATGTTAAGCAAACAAAAAAAAGAATAAAAGAATACTATGCTTCCCCAGTGGGTTTCTATTTGTCCATTATGCGAAATGACAACGTTTTTTTTTTTGATTATTTTGGTAAATGACAGAACCGTGGAGCCGATGTGAATCATAAACTATTTAGAGGCTTTTCAATGACAGCGGCAGTAAGGGAGGGCCATCTTGAGATCTTTGAGATCTTAATTAAGGCTGGTGCTTCTCAGCCTTGTTGCGAGGAAGCTCTACTCGAGGCCAGCTGTCATGGACGCGGAGGAAAATTTATCGAGTTGTTAATGGCTTCGGATATGATACGGCCCCATATCGCTGTTCATGCTCTTGTCACAGCATGCTGCAGAGGATTTATAGATGTGGTTGATGTCCTCTTGAAGGTAAAACATCAGTATGTCGGTTGTTGAGTAATAGTTGCTCATCAGAAGCTATTGATAATTGAAGCATCTTTTTAAAGTACAACATATGGATTATTAGATTAAGGGTCAGTTTACCAAAAGTTGGTTGAGCATGACAAGGACCAAAAATCTTACCTTGTAAATGAGGGAGAATGACTTTCTTGGTTAGTGCTTACTGGGTAAGAGACGTATACCAACAATCCATTTTGATTGCTGAAAAAGTTACCCAATAAGGAAGGATAAAAGTCACTTGTCCCAATTTTTCACGTCCCATTCATGTCCATTGCCCACCAATCACGTGAATACATGTAACTAGAGAACGAATATGAATATGAATTAAATAAATAAAAATATGATGTCTTAATTTCACTGTTAGGAAAGGAATGGGACGTTTAATTTTGGGACATTTGATTTTCATCCTGGATGGTGATTTTTGTTGGTAAGCGCTTACCCAATAAGCGTTTGATAAACGATCCTTAACATTTTGAAATCTAGCCACACCAATCATCTTTGAAAACGAATTGCAAGATTTCTCCTTACATTTTTTTAATCATGCAACGCATTAAAGTTAAAAGATATCAACCAATAAGACTATTTTTGACAAACTCACTGATAAGCTAGTTGTTAGCGGATAAACTAGTCATGTTTTTAATAATTAGCTTGTGGCTTAAAAGGACATGATGAACAATATGGGTGGCATAATTGAAAAAAGACGGGTGGCATAATTGTAAAAAGGTGAAAAATGCCTATGGAAAGCTAGCTTATAAGCCAATTATCAGCTAACCAAATGAAACTTCTACAATAAGTTTAAAAAGATTAGTTTATAGTTGTCAAACGGGCAAACTTGCATGTTATCTTCTCCATTGTTTTCAATACTAAGGTTGCATTCAATCTCTAACATGATTCTTTTTTGTAACAACAGTGTGGGATAGATGTAAATGCATCTGCCAGAGTGTTGCTCTGCTCATCTAAGCCTTCTCTCCATACAAATATCAACTGCACACCCCTTGTGGCAGCCGTTGTTAGTCGACAAGTTGCTGTTGTTCGCCTGCTGTTGCAGGTAACCTGTTAATCTAAGTCTCAAGGTTTGGAATCTCGTGAAGCCGGCCTGATTTCGTGAGACTCGTGAGATCACAAAGTAACACTGAACCTTCACTATAAAACAATGTGAAGTTACAAAAGAACACCGAAGATTCACAGTAAAAACACCGCAAAGGTTTGTTTTTGTATGTTCTTAGTGTTTTTGCTGTGAAGGTTCCGATTGTTTTTGTGCCTTCACAGCTGCACTCACGGGTCTCACGGAAACAGGCTGGTCTCAAGAGAACCCAACACTCTAATCAAGTTCATGATTTTAACATGAATTATGATCTGCCAAATTGATTACTTGTGTTTAATTGTTAATCGTTATATGCGATTTATGCCTTTTATGTTAATTGATATCATATCATAACATCATCCCAAAAGTTGCATTAACTTCTGTATGGATACTGGGATTTGGATTGAAATCCTTCTGACGCTATCTTTTAAGGATTCTGGGGAGTGGGGACCTGTAGTATCCTTGTTACAACAAGTGTCGAGTACAGCTGGACTTTTGGAGCCATTGATGTTTATACGGCACTTGCATCATAATGGTTCACCAAATGGCACCAGAAATTCAGAAACTGAGTTTGTCCAGTAGTTGGTGGTTGGTATTCAGAACTGTTCAATGAATTAATATCTTATCCTTTACCATGGTAGATAGTATTATTCTACTTCACTAGGAATTGATCGTAAAAGCCAAAATGTCGAATAAATTCATTAAGTTATTACTTATTAGAGTCGGTAACGGTGCACATTAAACCTGGCCAGGACAGGCCCTAAAAGGACCAGTCCTTTTAGGCGAAAAAAGACCAACCTCGGTCCTTTACGCTCCAAAATCGTCTAACCGGTCCTTTATGCACCTCTACATGTTAGAGTCCCGAATCAGCTAGACTTTGACAATTAGACACTTTATATTCAAGGCATATTTGAACTGGAACGTAGGAACTATTTTGAGCTAACTATTTGTGTTTTGAGATATTATTTACGAAAGAGACCTAGGTTCATTGAAAAACTACATGGTAAAATAAGGAATACGCCGATAACCATTTATTTGTTTGCTATGTACAATTGTGTAAAAGTAATTGAAAATGTTTTTTGGTTTTTATGTACGAGTGCATACTAGACAAATGAATGGTTAATAACACATTTCCAACGAAGGTTCTTATAAGAACAAACTTTTTGTACTTTTTCTTATCACATTATTTCCATGTCACTAAATTAAAAATCTACATAAAACTTCATAAAGGTAGTTCTTATAAGAAGTCATTTTGTAGGTCTTATTTATTTTTTTCAATATCAATATTTTTATAAAAAACTATTAAAATACCAAAAAATATATAATATAGAAAGCCCATTAAAATATCATTTCACACAAACATAAATGTTATAGGGACATACCCATTATGGTGGTTACGATGGCATATGATTCTTCCGTTGTAGTGTAAAAATATTTAGGTTGGCAAAAGGTGCATCTGTATCGATTTGTTGTGTGTCACTATATATATTTTGAAACTACGATAAAGACACAAGTTTCCTTTGGTAAAGTTGATTTGCAAGGTTTTTCTCTATTCTAGACCCGAGTTGGAATCCTCTTAGTGTCATTTTCTTAGTTTTTAGTTTCATATTTATTATGTTTTTGAAAAAAAAAACTGCAATAAAAAACTTAAACACATGGTCCTCACATATGAAAAATAATGAACTAACCAACAAGCCAATTATTATGTTATAAAAATATAACGTATATTTGTTTTTATAGTCAAATAATGTCACTGATTAAAAAAATTTATGAGTCCATCCCTATATGTTAAAATCAAGGTTTTGTATGAAAACTTAAAGGATGTAGGTGTCTTATGAGAAGTTGAGAACTCTCCGATAATAATTCAGAACATCCACTTTTTTCTCACAAGACAAGTTGCTGAGTTTTTATGTTTTTATTCTTTTTCTCCGAACACAAACATGTATAAATATATTAATTTCAAACAGCTTAAAGATAAGGCATTATTTGCT